TGCATAATTTGGACGGGAACCTGTTGGCCGGATATCTGGCTCGAATAAAAACAATTATTGGCAAGGTCACAGGTTCGAACCCACAGCCAGAGACCCAATTAAATTTTACTTCGCTTGCGCAAGAATTTGCCGGCACCTGGGTCTTTATGGAATTCGCTGGAGTGCTTGAGCAGCAGCAGCAGCCACGATGATCATGGTCAGTGTGTCGATCTAGCCCAGACTCTTCCTTTTGCTTTAAAGTCATGCTGGAACGCGTCTCAGCATTGCTCGCTTGAACGCCAACAGGTTTGGACGAGGAGAGGAGCTTAAACTTGCAGCCCGCGTGACTCGCAATGCAGCCTTGTCTACGAAAGTATCATTGCATTTCAGCTAGAGGGGGTGTCCAAGTTTGAATCCACCACTAGCTCCTCCTACATGCTTCGTCAAAATAGCGAATGGCCGAGGACTACTGACGACCTGGATAACGATACGCTGCTCCACACTTTCGAGCAGCGTTTGACTGCCGCGCTTGTGCCAATCTCATGTAAGAAAGAGTGGAGCTGAGCGAGAGCGTAGCCTTTCTTCTCTCTAGTTTCTCGCAGTGGCTTGACGTGGGTCCTTGCAGATCATTGTGTTGTATCATTCCACCGCTTGTCATGCTTCTTCTTTGCTCTCACCTGACGCTCGATCAAGGCTCTCACAGGCTGCAGTGAATAACAAAGGAATCACTGGTGCATCAACCCTCAGGTTCTGAGTCTAATCAGTTGCACCAAATCAGGGATGTGCCTCTCGTGTTTTTGGGAGTGAGTATTTAATTTCATGGTCTTGAACATGGCCAGAGGATTTGATCTTGCAAAGAAGAGAGAAACAAATAAATACCCCAACCTCCAGCACTCTTGACATTTCCAGATGCCTCTCAACTCTGCTCTTCAAGAGGGTGGTTGGATCAAATCAAACTTGCTCATTTTCCAGAAACTTTTCTTGTTCCGAGAAACAAATTTTGCTCCAAAAAAATTCCTGGAACCAAGAAGAGAGGCTTGGAAACGTTCGCGCGAACTTGCCCACGTGATTGATACGGAACAAGAAATCAGCACGCGTGCCATTCACTCAAAATCAATAACAAGCGAAACACTTTAACAGGCTATTAATGTTTAATTTGGACGGGAACCTGTTGGCCGGATATCTGGCTAGAATAAAGAAATTTATTGGCAAGGTCACAGGTTCGAATCCACAGCCAGAGAACCACCTAAACACACTTTTTTCAAGTGTAGGCGATGTTGGAGTTTCTCCGCGATATTGGAATTTCCTTGTTTCTCCCTCCCGCAGGCTCGAGAGACAAAAAAGACAGTGGTCGATCTAGCCCAGAAAGAAAGGATGCTGGGATGTGTCTCTCGCTTGGAACGATAATAGATTTGGAGGAGGAACTTGCGCCTCGCGTGACTCGCAATGCCACCCTTGTTACGATCGCACAGAGTGCTGCAGACTGCCAAGGAAGAACACGAACGCTGAGCGGCACACTCTGCAAGCTGGAACGCGAGCGATTGAGCGGAGCAGAGACAGGACACGACCCTGGACATCGGTTTACCGATGCCCAAGAGTTTTGGCAACCTTCGAATGGCTGTGAGTCATGATCTCCAGCCCAGAGGACAGGTCCAACTAGCATCGGACTTTTCCCCACTCTTTCATTCTCCAGCGCTGAAATTTGGCTCGACACTGGCCTCGTCTTAAATGCTTCTTAACGTATATCATACCTTCACCATAACGGCGCAAGCTCTCGCTCACTTCTAAGCATCCTTTCTAAACCCGTGGGAACGTTTTATAAGGCTGTCATCCTTTCTGCGGTTGTCAAGTTCAAGAAAGAAACCATTATGGAATGAAGATTTCACCACTGAATCCCTGGGATAACCTACCTTTTCTTCTTTTGAGAAACAAAGTTTCCCTAACGACTGAATGTCCGAAGATGGCTTGTTTGAGCATTGAAGATTAAATTGATCCAGGCACGCTCTTGATTAGCAGCAAAGTTAAGAGTACAAGGCTGGAGGTACTTGTCTGTTCTTTCAAATCCTAGGGAGCTTGAGATTTCATCAAGGGGCTTTCTTGTCGTGTTCTATCCAAGTTTGATGCTTGTTCCTAGCAGCAACAAGAAAAAATCCATGAAATTTCAAGTCACACCCTGTGTGAAGAAGAGGGGGCAATGCATGGAAAGTACTCGGGGACAAAAGGTGGCTGTCCACAACAAGAGTATTCAGAGCAAAAAGGGCGAAAGATGAACTGTGGGAAAGCAATGCTTTCACTACAACGTACATCCCTTGTGCCCTGCTGATCAATCCAAAAGCCACAACGCTGGTGGTAGTGCAGCAGCTCCTCCGTCCCGCGTTTAAATTCTACAAGCTCTTGCCAGGTGCAAGGTTCCATGGCCGTTTGCGACAAGAGAAATGCTGGTCACGTCTTTCGAACTGGAGCTACCTGAATTGGATGCCGTGGTTGGCTGCTTGCGAACAGTTAAGCTATCAATCACTGTGCCTCTTTTGTTATTTTATTCACTCCAATGGTGGTGATTTGCCAGGTCCCCCAGGAAGCAGAGACTATCGTCAAGGAGACCATCCATGGTTTTAATGCTTCTCATTTGCCTCCTCCAAAAGAGGGCGTCATTCGCATGGAAGCCAACGGTGGATTCATCCTCCAGAAGATTAGCGACGAGAAATGCTACACAAGGTACGCTATTAGTTTTTTTTTTTTTTGTTTTCTTCTTAAGATAGTCACTACTTCTTTTACAGAGCAGTAATACACCTGGACCTTAAGGTCGACCTTGTTCCGACATGGGTGATTAACTTCCTTGGGCGTCAAGTTGTGGGACACGGCTTCAGGCTATACCTCAAGGTATATTTCTTTCCTTTTCGGGTGAAAAATGTCTAAGCTTTGTGTGTACAACAGACTGTTTCTTCTGTTAAAGAGAGCAAAGTGTTTCAAGAATGCATCAGGCAACAGCCACTCTACAGCCACATAATGTTACAGATGCTACCAAAATCGAGCCACCAAAATGGATACAAGAGTTGAGGTGCTTTTCATAAGAAGTATTCATAAGAAGTATTCATAAGAGCATTTACATTTATAAACAATTTATAAACAAAGAGGAGCTTGAGGCCCACCGATACTCCTGAAAAGTCCGAACTTATTCATGAGACATATGCAAGGTGGGTTTATAAGATTTCTGTTGTTTTGCATGTCTAGAAAAATCTGCTGCAGTCAAGCTCAAGAAAGAAACCATTCTCTTCTCGATGGAATGAAACTCTCACTTGCTCCATGCTCTGGCGAGGCCATGGCAAACAAAATGGGCGGACTCTTCGTCTCAATCTGACAAGCAGCTGATGCAAAGGCTACTTTTGAGAAACAAAGCGTAAGTATGCTGCAACAAGAACCAGCAACAGCCATTTAAGGTATTGTCGTGGAAGATGGCTTGGCTGAGCTCGAGTTTGATTTGATCCAGGCACCCTGGTCCCATCTATTCTTCACTTGGTTGTCAAAGCTTGGAGGTCCATAGGTTTCGATCCTTTCAAATCCTGCTCCAACTTTTGATGCCTTTTCTTGGCAATAATATATTGCTCTGAAACCGTGAAAGCTTACTCACCTGCAAAAAAAACTCTAGGGTTGCACCAGACATCCAATAAACCAGAGAAGCTCTCGAGGAAAATCCTAGATTTAACATAAACAAGTCACACCTCATGGAATTGATGGTGATCTTGGTACAACTAACTAATTAAGCTTGTCCTCAAACACATGGTTTTGGCATTTGTCTTTCACACTATTGTCCAATCTTGTGAAAGCCTTGACCGAGCTTAAACTCAATCAGCTGAGAACAAGCTGTCTCAAAAGTTTCCAAAGAGCAGAAGGCATAATACAAAGGTCACAAACTCGTCTCATCACAAGTTGCATTGTGGTCACTCCACGCCTTGGATGTTGATGAACTACAGGCCTCCATTTATCTTGGAAAATACATCTATGAGGAATGAAGCAATCTGGACAATAGTATAAGCAAAATGAGCACGAGAAGAACCATACATACCGTGGAAAAGCATGAGTTCTACACTCAAAACGACACACACATGGCACGGGCAATGTTCGATCAAATGCCCGAGTGCCACAACATTGTCGCATGGACTGCTAGGCCTACGCTCTCACTGGGAATTTCTTCCACGCTTTAATTTGATCCTCTACCAGGAGATGGTCTTGGAAGGAATGGCTCCCGACTAGATCACATTCACTTCCGAAATCAGAAAAGTTCTTTGTCAGGATGTACCATCTAGTAGGACGAAACTGGCCTCAAGAATGCTAGAGCATAAGTTATAACATGTAGCTACGTAAATGATGAACCTATGCAGAGGCTTGCCCGATCGTGGAACACTAGTACACGCAAGGTGGATTGTTAACATTGAGGATGTCATTGTCGTGTGCTAAAGTGGCCTGAAGAACGCCACCGTGATTGGATTCCTTGTGATTCCATCACTCTTTTAGCTAATAGAGCTTCTAATTACAATCTTTTACAAGGAACCCACAGTACAAAGACTAAGCTCGGTTACAATCTTTTAAAATGAACCCAAGACTAAGCTCAATAATGAAGATTAGGCCATTGTTGGAATGCCCATTTTAGGGAGTTGTGCTCTTATTGGATAGCTCATTGTAACGCTTGAGCTAAATGCTTTTCAATTAAAACGTACAATAATATGCTTTGCCTCCTGTGGGAACATGCAGTCTATGTTAGGAGATCTCAGCAGGCATGGTGGATCAATGTTCCATCTGGAATGGATGAAATTTCTTGCTCAAGGTGCTCGTCTGACCACATTCCACAGCAATATTCTGAAGCTGTACGTGAAGGAGATATTCGATGGGTTGTACAAAGAGATCAGGAAGATCCTGGTGCCGTTCATGTGGATGTTGTGCTGCCATTTGAATGGAAATTCGGGGGTTGGTAAGCCTGCATTCGTCTGGTACTTCCGGTCATGATCTACGAGTCCAGAGCGACTGTTTTGATGTTCAAGGGTAACAAAGCTCAGGGTGGTGAATAGAGAAGACTTCCCTCAGGAGATTGTGCTGGACAGCAAAGTAGATACCATCTCATCGATCTGTGAGTGGACTTGGGGCGGATGGTTGGAAATAAAACCCTTGTTGCTGCTTCATCACCAGACGAGTTCAATGTCAGAAAAGCCAAGCGGACAACGTTCACTCGCTATCTGCCTGCGTGGGAAAAGCACGAGTACGATGCTCTTGTGTCTTCTTGGAGGAAACGCGTGACAGACTATGAGAGTGGATCGGAAGAAGCCAAAGAGATAACGCAGAGAGTGAATGCTGCTGAAATGGCGTTTGAATGGTTTGGAGGTATCCCCTGGTTTCTTTGGGATGTAGAAGCAAACGGTCTGACTGTGGAAGCTTTCGAAAGGGATTGAAGCACCTGAGTATGGTTCTGACTCCTGATTTTGTCCTTCAAGCGTTTTGAGCGTTGGTGGTCCAGGAAACTAAGGTGCGCATCTTCATGCTCTCAAACATGCTCCTGGCGGCGCTCAAGTTGAAACTTGCGTGAGAGCTATCCAGCAGACAATGGTCTTGCGCAGGATCTCGTGAACGGCCTTGTCAAAATGCCCATTCTCGCAAATGCGAGGATCCACGGTACTGGATTCTTCTCCGGGATTTGACCGAAGGTGTTCTTCGTGAGGGCAACGACGCCTTGGATGGTCCTAATGATGGAAGTCGTTGTAATTCTTAGGATACTACTTTATCCATCACGAATAGCATCAATACAGTAATCACTTCGAAGCTTTTAAAATAGGATCTACATATTTTGTCTTGGTAATGGGAGATTTCACTTCCTGAACATAGTCGCTTCTATATATCAGGTGAAGCAAGATCTAACGTCCACATCTTGATTGATTTCATTTGCTGTTAAATCCATCCATTTTTTGAATTTTTTTTGTGTGTGGCTA